CCGGACTCACTGTTGAGTAATTCAGGGTAAATCCCAAATTGACTACTTAGGTTACCCTACTGAGTAGGGTAACTACCGCTCCTTACTAGTACCCGTATACTTTTTAGTATAGTATAGTATGCCCAACCGAGGTACCTAACTAACAGTACCTCTAGCTGGTAGACTCTAGTCTACCTCTATTCCTACCACGGTAGTCTCTTGATACCGGTATGGGTAAAGGTTTGGTTAACTGTAATAGTACTCCGTGGAGTCTCGTTACACTAGATCCTGCTTATCAGCTATATGAAAGGGGTCCTTCCACTTGGTCTCGGAAGTATAATGGAGTAAATCTGTCAACTACCCAGAGAGTTACTTGACTTCAATAGTTAGATATCTATGGCATAAACTGTAAGTAACAGGACATATTTGTACAAAGATATAACATTGAATATGAGAGGATCTCTAGGATAAGTTAACATATTCTCATCCACCATATGAGAATTAAAAGAGTTTAGAACCTCTAGGAGATACTACTGAAGAAGCCAATAGACTTCTCAGTATGCTACAACTAGGTTAAGAAATGCATCTTAGTAGGAGTAAATTATCAACAATACTACATAACGACTAAAGCCCTATTGCCAAAGACAACCAGAAGTTGCTAATCAAGGGATTATCTGCCAATCTGGTAGAATAGCTTCCTGTGAATCAGTAGGAAGTCATTTAGAAGATATCTGTCGCTTGGATTAGGAGTTATAGAGGTTTAAAGTTAGTTACCAAGAAAGGTTGCATTTATGACTACTTTGACAGACATGACCCGTAAATGACACTGATCATTTCATCAATAGGAGAGATAGTTGGAGCCAACACAGTTTGACCTGATAATTATCATAAAAATTAAGATGACTTCCGAACAGGTTTATCTATATCCCCATCCAGTATGTTTGGCAATTCCTCCACAACACTGCCAATAGCACTAGTACAAATCACTTCCCAAGAGGGTCCTTTGTATATACTGCCATCACAATCCCCTCCATTTTTCCAGTCAGTTGTAGACTCCACAGCCAAGCTTATTGTATGTACTGCATGATCAGAGACTATTTAAACTTTCTTTTTACTCTTAGGAAGTGGTTTAGATATTTCGTGTTCAAGAGTTAAAGAATCTAGAATCTTGGTAAGCTTTCTGGTAGCCCTTATACCCTTTTCAGCCTCCAACCACTCCCAGTTTTCTATTAGCTCCATCATAGTCTCTGTAGTTACCACTGTGGCCTTGGTCAGCTTCTGATGGTCTGATGTTTTGATGCGCTAACTCTTCCCTATAAGTTCACAATACTGTTGATAATGCTTCTCTTCTAGCACATGATTAGTAATAGCTTACTAAAAACCCTCCAATAAGTCAGATAAAAGCGCTTTGAATTTTTTTGAGCCAGGCGTATTTTGTGATACTAGTGTAATGGCAGATCTCGTATGACCACTGACTGCTTGTAATATCTTGGGAACTTGGTAGAGTTGGACTAGAAGTTGCAATAAGGATGGTTGAGAAATATGGATGCTATTTTTCTCTGTCTCAGATCTCTGAACTCTGCAGGGTTTAAGGAAATTGCTCCAGCAGTCTCCTATATATGAAGTCTATTTTTTGTTGCAAATGTAAGTTCACAAGCTGGCATCAGTACTCTATATATTTCTAATAGTAACTTATTAATAAGGCATATATCCTATTTGACAAGGAAATAATGACCTACAGAAGAAAGTCTCTCTTTGTAAAATATGGGCCATGGTTACCACGCCAGATCCACTCATCAAGACCATTGGAGTAATAGCATTAAAGTAAAGTGAAAAGCCCTATATCTAAGGGCTGAAGCGAATGTGTGGAGTGTGCAGGAAGGCAAAGTGGAATAATTCTATTGGACAGGCAAGAGTCAAAAAACTTCCAGTTAAAATGAAAAATATGTCTATCAAGGAAGAGGAGACCAAAGCCAGTGCCTGCTCTGAGAAATGATTGTTATTTCATGTTAGTTATATAAATATTTGTAAGATATAAATAGACAAAATAAATGAGTGCTTACTGTTCTCTTATTTCAATAAGTTTGGATACAGAGTATGTATGGCCTACTCGATTGGATGCTACTGAATTTTTTCTTAGTATTTCAGGAGAATTAACCTGTAGTCAAACACATAGAATATCTTTAGACGAAATCTTAATTTAATTGCTAAATTGGAAATTCCAACTACCTATTTTGGAAGGAAATAATGCTTTTATGATTCTTAATAAGATATATTATACAAGAAAGATATAAATTAAATAATTTATTAAGAATCTATGGAAAATAATTTATGCAGATAAAAGAAGTTAGGAGGCAGATGAATCTTATTCCTAGCTGTCACATTAGGATGTAATATAGCTCATTAGGATGGCTTCGTTAAGCTGAATTCAATGGTATATGGCCCTTATACAAGTGATATCTGTAGGCTAAGTTAGCTTTCCAGATGGAAATATCTGCTGTAGGATAGAAATAGTCGGAAGGATGATTAACTTCATAACTAGCAGTCAGATTCCGGTTTTAGGGATATGTTTAATAGCAAAATATGGGGTAATTGTTCATCAAAAGACGGATAATAGAGTTCTTTTTTAAATTCTACTATTATGAAAAGTCTATTCTCTTCTGCTATAACCGGTATGAGTGCTTGGTTATTGGTTTTGTTTTATGTTTTGTTTTAAGTATCACTTTGATACTTGGTTTGTTTTATGTTTTGTTTTAAGTATTGTTTTGATACTTGGTTTGTTTTAAGTACTATTTGATACTTGAGTTTGCTTTATGTTTTGTTTTAAGTATCACTTTAATACTTAGTTTGTTTTAAGTATCATTTGATACTTGAGTTTGTTTTATGTTTTGGTTTAAGTATTACCTTGATACTTGGTTTGTTTTAAGTATTGTTTAATACTTGATTTTGTTTTATGTTTTGTTTTAAGTATCATTTGTTACTTGATTTTGTTTTATGTTCTGTTTTAAGTATCATTTTGATACTTAATTTGTTTTTACCAAAGTGTATCGATTGAATACCTTTGATTAAGTTTCGTTCATGCTAGACATGAACACGTTGTGTATTTAAAAACTGCCTAATTCCACAATGGAAACAGCAGAATTCGACAGACAGTATTTCAATTCCCTTACAGGGGGGATCTATTCAACAGCGCATTCGCAGTACACCCTCGAAGCCTCCTTTAGTTCTCAGCTCTAGCCTCCTCTTTAGTAGAGTAGGCCACCTGCCAACTATTGTACCTATTACCAATAATGTGATTAGCACTTTGTGAACACTTTACAATAATTATCTCATAATCCAAAATTATCCCTAATCAGGTAATATATGTAAAACCTAAGTCTGCCATGTAAGAGATATACTTCTCTTATCTAGTGTAAGCTTGATTATATTGTACCTTATTCTAGACAATTATAACAGAAGGTGAGGACTCAATTCTTTTGCTATTAGCTATACTTACATTTAATTGAATAATTTGTTTAATACTTTATTAATTTAGTATCCTTCTACTAATTCATTCTTGTTTTAGTCCTTATCACTTTTTACATAAAAGTAAAATAAATACTCAAATTATTATACTAGCTCCTAGTATTCTTATTCTCAGGTTTCTTGTGTACTCCTTATTATACTAAATTATCTATACTAATGTTTAATCATTTTAACAGTTCTTGTATTAAAGTTATGAATACTTACTGAACTTATGCTAAATTTCTTTATTTACTATCTTTCAAGGCCTCTTACTTTACCACTATCTCCACTCTGACTGAACTATATTTTTGGAAAGAAATGGTAGCTTCTAAATAGTGTATCATGAAAGAATCTGTCAAGTCTCACTTGTGGTGACAGTTACTGCTTATCTCCAAACACTGCACTGTATCAGATAAAACTTAGTCACAAAGATTACATGGGCGGGAAATAGTGAATTTCATAGAATTTCATAGTATCATACTTGTACTAATGACTATTTACCAAAGACTCGTAACGTCTACTCACTTTTACGGCATTCGGCTTTGAGACTTCATGGGATCTTGTTCCTATCTGCACTCTCAATTTTATATCACACTTAACCTGAAACCTAATCTCTGAATCATCTGCTGTCACTCGACCCCATGAGTCACCCCTTGCTTAAACCCTTCCCACCCTCATACGACATCCTTCGGAGATCCTATATTTCCCCGAGGCGGCGAATCACAAGAGTTTTTTTACAGTATTGTAACTTGCAGAACTGAATCCATCACCTGTTCGCGGAGGTGGTGGTGGATCTCTTGAGATTTCTAGGGATTAACTTTGCAGTTATCTATCTATCTTTCCATGAGCAAACAGATGAAAAAATTCCCACAGAATATCATTCTAGAATTGTTTTTATCCTCTCCATTATTATACCTTAAATATCATAAAGGCTTATGAAATGGTATTAAAATTTTCCGACAGAGGGAGGAAAGAAATGACAGTTAAAGACATTTCTAACCTATCGTACCGCAATACAAAAAATACCCGAGCTATGAAAAATATATATACATAATATTATTATCCTCTAATACTCAAGGCGACTCAATCCCAATAAGAAAATCCCCCTTATTGCCAAACAGCAAGATACCGGTATTGTACAGTACAGTACAGTACACACCCGCTCATCATTGTCTAAGAAAAGGAGAAGGCAGCTGGAGGCCTAAATGTTTAATTAATGAGTCAGGGAAAACATAAATAGAAAGATTTCACCTGTCCGCGCGCAATATCCTACGATATCACTACTTTCCTTACTCCTCTAGTTTTAGGCGTCCAATTAGTCCCGCATCATTAGTAGTGCGAGTAGGAGTATCCAATTCTCACAATGAATTCCCTCTTCGAATTTGTCATGTTTTTGGTCATTAGGAAATACATCGCTTTTCAAGATGGCTTCTTCTACAGTTGCACAGCAAACAGGATCCTCATATGCCTTTTTTCCCCGAAGATTATGATGTTTCACAAGTTTCTATGAAGGGCAATGGGAGGAAATATATATATAAAAGAAATTCTAAAAGGGTACCAGTACTGATATTCTGCAAGGAAATTTATTTTCGACAGTACCAGATCTACGAAAGTTGTCCCCCCCCCACAGTGGTATCTTGTGGGGGAAAAAAAGCTCCCTAGCCCAGCCCAGCCCAGCCCAGAAAATCACAAGACACCACACACCGCAGTTGGCGAAAAAAAAAGACCCATTATCAAGGAGGTCCAAATATCCATCCAACTCCATTACTATCCACACTTCCCGTCCCTTGTCCTCCACTCTTCCTCGTAGCAGAGCACCCACCCCCTTCCTATAACAAACACTGGCCCGAGCCCCTCCCTCATTACTGCCCCCGCTCCCCATCCGTATTCCTAGCTGAGTCCCAAATATCCGACGTACCCACCCCAGCGAGCACCTCGTTCACCATCTTGACCACCTGCCCAGAAATCGTGCAACTCCCGTGCCCCATGGTAATGTCTACGAAGCAGAGGAGTTTCTTCATTGACAGGGCTAGGCTCTCGACTGAGATCCCATTATACGGCGGTGAGGGCACGGGGAATATTCCGATGGCAGCCTCGTGCCGGATCAGCGAGCCTAGGATCGCAGCGTCGCAAATGAGGGCTTTTTCGTTGGAGAGGAACGCGGTTGACGGCCTAGTGAGTTTGCATTTCATGCCGGGGCCTTGGTATAGGCTCCTGAACTGCGCTGTTACCGAGAGGAGGGATTTGATGGTTGATATTCGGTATGCCGAGATTAATCCTAGTATCATATATGTAATATTAACTATAATGGCAGGTACCATGGTATGGTGGGATGTATCATATATCATACCGACAAGTTTCTCTGGAAGCACATCGTAATCCCATACATTCTCCCCCCCCTTCTCTCCCTTTCCCCCATCATTCTCACCATCACCATCATCACCGCACCCCAAATCCTGCATAACCGCCCTTCGACACCCCTCCCTAAACCCCTCCTTGCCGTCAAGCACATACAAGACAAACAACCCCCTCCCACCACCGCCCGCCCCCCCCTCAGCCAAACCTCCTTCCACGGTCCCAGCGCCACCACGAGATCATACTTATCCGCTACGAGCGCAATCTCGTAGAGGACATCATGGCTAACGTCCGCGCTCACACAGTCATGTCGGAAGTGCAGCACGTTGAATACGGCCTCCAGCGCTTGCGGGGGGTCGTCCGGGAATTCTATTTCTACCAAAGCCGTGGTTGAAGCGAGAGCGGCACCTTCGCGGTAGCGACGGGAAAACATTGAGCGGAAGACGAGAGATGCGGTGGATAGAATTTTCGAGGATACCCGAAGTTTGGTTGTGGCGGTGGCAGTGGGGAGGAGAACTATGACGTCGCCGTAGGGGTCTATTGCTTTCGTTGTTGAATCCATTGCGAGTTGCGCTGGTGGTGTAGTTGAGGTTGAGGTTGAGATTTTGAAGTTGAAGTGGAGAGGGATAGACTGCGGTAACTTAAAGCACCAACAAGTGTATGATAATATTAGCTACAGCGGCTACGGCAGCTAAGCTACCCAATCTGTCAAAATGACCCCATCAGCGAAACATACCATGATACGCTCCCGATAAATTTTAAAAATATAAAATTAATCCCTTTCCGACACCTCCAAGAAAAACCCAATGCACTATTCTTCAAAACAACTTATCCCCCAAGCCAACTTTTAAAACTTCAAAAATTCTGTACCGTAGTACCGGTACCTGTATATCTTTTACCAGCGCATGCAAAACATGGGAAAGAAACCGCGACAAAGTTCCTCGCAGGGTCAAGCATGAAGGGGGGGCAGATTGGTCGGTTTCAACGAGCGAGTGGCTGCGACAAAAAGCGGGTCTTATCTGGGAAGGGGGTTCGAAATCGCAATCAAACAGAGCACTGTTCTTGGTTAAACTATGGACAACCCCCCCCCCGCCTTCCTACAGCCATTCGTCTCCACGACCCCCACCAAACCTGGGGTCTAGCTCTGGGGGTTTGCGCACTCTATACAGTAGACGAGTCGTCGCACAATACCAAGCATGTTCTGCACCGAATAATACTCGTATTTTAAGGGAAACCGAGACAAAGGCCCTCCTAAGCGGTACCCCGTCATGCTTGTGTGATACCATACCCCCAGGTGGCCTACGAGTAGTTCGGGTGAGGACGCGTTCGGAAGGTATGTAGTCTGTCTCTTGCTTTCCCGAGTGAGCGTATATGAGCGGTATGATTCCCTGGTTGCCAGGGGGGATTTATTAATCCTTGGAGTGTATGAAACAGTCAAATTCGCGACCAGGCAAGATAAGCCTGATTTGTAGGATTGGTGGATTATTAAGACAACAAGACATCAAAATCAATTACAATAGTTAGCCAGAAGAATATGCAATGATTGTAATTTCTCCCAATGCAGATAAATACCATATTCCACAGTAAGCACCTTCCTTATAGCAAGCCATATCTTAAATACTAGCGGCTATTACAACTCTGACTGAATAGATGAGCACTCACTACAACATAGAATACGTTAAACAGATGGAAAACAAGAGTAAGCAAATAGGAAACAAGAGAAATTCTATGAAATTGGAAGATGCTTATGGCAAGAATTATAACAGCTTTTATAAAGAGAAAATCTACAACCTGGGCCATGGCAGCCATACCGAGTTGTGGGTACATGTTGACCTTTTGTCCTCATATTCTTTAAAATAAATTAACATTGAATACATTCTCTACTCCTTTGCTCAAATTGAATAAGCTCACGTTCATAAATACTGCCAATAGAACATAGAAGTGTTGTTTTCTGTTACTGTTAGCAGTATTGGAATTCTGAGGATTTACAAATAAAAAACAATTTTCGTGGTCATGTGTAACTGATACGGGTACTCGGTAATGGTGTAATAATCCCATCAGTAGTTAGTTGTTTGTATTCACAGAGTGAGAGAAGATGATTGTCTGTAGTAGTGTTAGGGCTACTGGTTGAGAGTTGTCCCATAGTATTAGTATAGTGTGTAACTAGGCACACTGTCACGATTCCTCCTTGGATGGTTAGTTCTTGGTGATGGGGAACGATACTTCTCTTCTTTTTCTGTTTCTCTCCTTAGTCTTACGATAGCACTAGGCTTCTACCTACGTTACCAATAGTATAAGACCTCTGTCTTCTATTGGGAATGCCTATCGTAAGCTTTCTCTAACTCTTCTTCATGAAGAGCTTTCCTAGGCGTAATGATAATATTGTAATAAAGATAAAGATCATAAAGGTGTTTTATATTTGTTAAAATAATAAGTAGGAAAAGTACTTAGAACAAAGTGTGAAGAACCTATCCTCCTCGGCCGTATCTGTTAGGCGGAGACAACTTGATAGACTTCAAAGTTGTCTAGGCCAATCGAGATTCGTTTCTGTAGATGGAGATTGTCTAGGAAGGCTCGGACTTTGCTCGTTTCGTTTATGACTACTAGGAGCGAAGTAAAATAGGTAAAGTAGGGTAGAATCATAAAAACAATATTATATTGTTAAGGTGTCTTCTCCATTGCGTGATAATGTCTAAAGCTTGGGAGGCACTTCGATATTTATATTTCACGTCTGAGTGTTCACGGACTACATCTATTTATCATACAACTATGTACTTATTCAATCGTAATTTGCGACGTCGAGTTTTCTTCCAAGGTGCAAACACCTGTGGACCCTGAAAACCATCACACCTTTTTCGGTAATTATGATATTTCTTCTTAGGAAACGTGCTGTCCCCAATAGTAATATCCCGATTAGCAGAGTCTTTAGACTTATAGCCTAGTTCTTAAGTCGAACTGAGTTGGCTCCAATTGTCTTCGCCATTGATAAAATGATCAGTCTTATCCACTGCTATATCTGTAAAGGTGGTTATTATTACAACCATCGTAGGTCATCTGACTCCGATCCTTTGTAACTCCATACACAACCGATAGATTTTCTCTGGATGACTTCCTATTAACTCGCAGGAAGCTATTCCACCAGATTGGTAATTAATCCCTTGGTCGGCAACCCTTGGTTGCTCTCTGGACAGTAGGTTTCAGTAACCATTGTAGTATTGAGAATTACTCCATGATTACGACGTGTTCCGAAACCCAGTTGCAACACTCCGTGAACTTCGTTGGCTTCTTTGGTAGTGTCTTTTGGAGTTCTAGACTCTTCTGGTGGATGTAAATATATTGGTCTCTAGTAGAGATCCTTTACCATTTGATACCATCTCTTTGTGCAAAATCGTCCCATTACATACGGCCAATGCCAAAGGTACCATATCTTTGGAGCCCAGTAACTCTCTGAGTAGTTGACGGAATCACTCTGTTCCACTTCCCAGACCTAGCTGAAGGTCCCCTCTCATATATCCTGCGAACAGGATCTGGTCGGATGGACGGCGATGATGTATATTGTATTACTCTAATACCTTCAATTCCGTAGTAATATAGTCACAGGACGCAACTGAGATTGATATATATGATGATGCGCAGGCCCTGTAAGGGAGCCAGAGGGGGGTGTTGGAGACCAGAGATTCCGATTCCAAGTGGGGTTACCCTACTTAGAGTGGTTCCTAGGTATCGGGTTCTGGTATTTCTAACACTATCGGCCTCCTTCTATAGTATTCTTTCCGCCCGTAGTCATGTGACCCAAAGTAGTCACATGTGCGAAACTAAATCATAACAAACTAGTCATGTGACCAAAGTGGTCACATGTTCAAAACCCATGACCTCATAGCGAGGTTATGTGCAAAAACTGATAAACCAATCATAACACAATAAACAAGTCATATGACTTGACTGAGTCATATGCGTGAAACACATGACCTCATAACGAGGTCATGTGCAAAACATAAATCATATGCACAAGGCTTACCCGCAAGGCACACTCGCAAGGCATACTCGCCAAGCGTACGTCCCATGACTCATATTTGAGCCATGTGTGAAAGCATCACAAATCACACACATAATAAATCATATGACTCGAATGAGTCATATGTGCGAAACAATAACATTCCTGTGACTCATAACCATGTGTCACATGAAAACCTTTTTCATGCCAAGCCACATTCGTGATATACCTACAAACTTGTATATATAGAGGTATATCTCCACTCACAAATGTTACACTCTTCTGAGATTAAACCACCTCTATACACACTCCTGAATACGATTTCACATCATCCTCACAACTCACCACTCAGCTTACCTCACAGATCTGTTGTGAAACTGTGTGATCCTCATTTCCCACTATCACTCGGTTAATGGCTTTACTTTATGGTTTGTTTTACGTGTCATTTGATATTTGATTTTATTTTATATTTTGTTTTAAGTATCGTTTGATACTTGGTTTTGCTTTAGGTTTTGTTTTAAGTATTGTTTTGATACTTAAGTGGTTTTATCAAAGTGTATCACTTGATACCTTTGATTAGTTTCATTCATGGTAGACATGAACAGATTTGTGTATTTAAAGACAGCCTGATTCCAAGATGGAAAAGGCAGACCTAGACAGATAGTATTTCAATATACTTGGTTGAATAGTTACTCTTTATTTTCTCAGTACATCTTAGAAGCATTTATTAGTTTTCAGTCCTCACCTCCTCTCTGGTAGAGCAGGCTACCTGATGAACTATTACACTTATAATGAGACTCCATGGAGTGCTATTACAGTTAGCCAGACCTATGCTCATATTGGTGTCAAGAGAATACAGCAGTAGGAATAGTGGTAGACCAGAGTCTACCGAATAGAGGTACTGTTGGTTAGGTACCTCAGTTGGACAAGCTATATCATACTAACAAGTACATGAGTACTAGTAAGGAGTGGTGGATACCCTTCTGGGTAGGGTAACCCAAGTAGTCAATTTGGGAGTTATACTAAATAGTTCAAAGATGGGTGTGGGTAGAGTTACCCTACCTTCTGATCAGAGTTACCCTACCTTGGGCCATGGGTTACCCTGCTATGCAGTTAAGTTATCCTGCGTTGAAAATAACTTATTATACAGGTCTTCAGGAGAAGTTATTAGACTGTTTGTCATGCAAGACTATATAGGGTCTTCGAGTTTTAGGTTGTACAGATCACTCCTGTACAACTAGTTGATCTCCAAACAAGTTGTAACTTGAAGGTGTGATAGCTAACACCCTCCTCCAGCCAAGTTATAGGTCCCTAATATCATGTGCTACAGCCAAGAGAGTTGCTGTAAGACTAGTAAAAGTCTACAAGTGGAGATGCTCCTATAATACCTTATACACTCACGCTGTCTATTCAACCAGAAGCTGTCCACAGAATATATGTGTGGGTAGAAGTGAACCTGGAGAATGGTCTCCAGGTGGTTTCATGCAAAGCGAACTAGAACAGACAGAGTAATACCACTATGAAGCTTAAAGTAGTACGTGAGATTACCAGAGGCCTATATTTAAGAT